TTTTTCTTTTCGTTTTTTCAAATTTTTCTTTCTTCTTTCCTCAACTCCATATCTGTTGGTAGTGTCGAAAGCTTTATCTGTCCTACAGTTAGTACCTGTTCCCACAGTACATAGTAGCAGAGCTTTTTGGAAAAAAAGGGGATCCCATATGGTTTCCCCAACTTCCCCGTCCGACGGCAGTACAACAGAAAATGGCTGTTTCTACTCGTGGAAATTTGCGTGTCGCCACGGCCTTGACCCGCAGCGCGAAGTTGGTAGGAAACGGTAGGGAGCCCGTGACCCCCTACCCTTCCCCCAAAAAGTAGGCAAGTTTTCGGGTTCTTGTTTTTTGTTTTTGTTTTGTGAAGGCAGTCTTTCTTTTGCACAAAGGGAGACCGGGTGTCTCCGTTGGACCCGTGCACGGCCATCGAAATTTGGCGACGCAATCGGGAAAGCGCCAAGAAGTCCGGGCCTATGGGATCCCACTTTTTCCCTACGAAACCTTTGGCACTTCTCCTACTTTCAAGGGACTTTTACGACTTTTTGGTAAAAGTTCATAGTGGGATCAGCCTCTTAGTGTTGCTCCTGACGTGATTGATTCCATTGACTATATATCGCCACATGAATATCAGTCTGAGAGAGCAAAGGCAAAAAAAACAGAAGAAAACAAGAAAAAAAGTAAATAAATTCGTTTTCTTATCTTCTTTCTTACAGCTCCCCCTGTTCAGAACCTGTTGCCTACAAGGCCGCCCACGTGGATGTAGGTTGAGCGGCGGCTGCTCCCACCCCCGTGTGTCATATCGACCCACTTGCACACAGCCAAAGGGCAAAGAGGCAAAGAAAAGAGGAAGGGAACAGCCAAATAGTACAACAAAACAGGGAGCAACAAGCAATAGCACCAAAAACGGATCCTAGATGACAAGTCACACATGCAAGCACCGCCCCTCCCTCCTTCACAGGCCTAACGACAGGACAAGACCACCCAGAACAAAACTCTTTTCTGCCAAAACAGAAAAATCCCAGATTGCATATCTATATACAGCAGATGGCCTTGTTCGTCATCAAGACGTGGGTATTCCCATTTGTAAACCATTCTTACTGGGACAAAAAACATAAAAGACAATCCCAGATGACCATTCCCACATGAAAGCACAGCCCCCTCGCACAGGCCGAACAAGGGGAAGCAACCAACTAGGATGCCAAGACAATAAAAGAGAACCCGGATGACAGGTCCCACATGAAAGCACCGCTACGCTCACCGAAATAGACCGAACAACGGGACCAAACCAACCGGGATGCAGCAGACAAGGGTACCAAAACAAATTCTACCATATCCATAGCTGAAAAAAAAAACGGAACCATACACTGTCAGTAGGTCCGCAAAACGAAATACTCCATAAATGGGGAAGAGTATAAAAAAAAAAAAAAAAAAGGAGAAATGGTAGCAAGAGAATTAGGAAAATATTTTCTACCATAACCAAAGAAGAGCCTGCTAGTACAGGCCGGACGCTCGCCGCATCATCTACAAAAGCAGAGAGCTAGCAACGTCGGAGTATATATCGTCACATGGATATATATATCGTCACAAACATATCAGAGCGCAAAAGCGAAAAAAAGGAAAAAGAAAGAAAGAAAGAAGGAAAGCAGGAAAAAATAAATTCATGATTTAATCTTCCTCCTTATAACTCCCCCTGTTCATTATATACATATTTGACGATATATAATATAATATAATATAATACGATATACATATATACATACATACACAGCCCCTCGTTTGTTGTCCTCTTCTCCCTCTCGCTCTCTCTCTCTATATACATATATCGTGAAACAGAGCTGCCCGGTAAACCGTAGGTAGAGAGGGAGTATATATAATATATACCATATATATATTGTCACAAACTTCTCAGAGCGCAAAACCGAAAAAAAAACAAACGGAAACAAAAAAGATATCAATTCATTTTTTTATCTTCTTACTTACAACTCCCCCTGTTCAGAACCTCTTGCGTACAATATGTTTATCATGTATACATATATATATATGGGGTGTGAACCGACAGTCTGTAGAGTTTTCCATCTGGTGTGGGTGAGTGATAGTCTACTTTGATTTGGGTTAAGGTAGATTATCATTTACAGAGTAATCAGTGAGGGGATTCTGCAGACTGTTGAGGGTTCAGCCTCCTGATGAGTCGGTGAAACTCCGACGAAACAGTTTGTCACAGCCCCTCGTTTGTTGTCCTCTTCTCTCTCTCTGCCTACGGTTTACCGGGCAGTTCTGTTTGTGACGATATATATCGCATTTCCTTATTTACTAGTCACACTATTCCTATTAATATGGCTATGATAGACATTCGTGTTTTTACAAGACATCATTTAAAATCGGAACGATACAGAGAAGATAAGCATAAGGCCTCCTGGCATTTTTTAGGATGACACGCATAAAACGAGAAAAATGGTCCAACTTCAATGAAAAAAAAAAAAAAAAAAAGAGTGATAGACTTTCGTCGGGTGAGTCGGGTGAGGCTCCCCTTAGCCTCATTCACGAAATTCTGACGCACAAACAAACACATGGGGCGCTTTGCTCTTCCTCTGTGACCATTGATCTCCGTCATCTACGGTCAGAATTACTTTTTCTTTTCCATATCTCCATCCCACGACACCTCTCTCTCTCTCTCTCTCTCTCTCTCTCTCTCTCTCTCTCTCTCTCTCTCTCTCTCTCTCTCTCTCTCTCTTGCTCGCTCGCTCGCTCTCTCTCGCACATAGAGAGACAGACACATACGTACACGCACGCACGGACAGATGCACGCGGAACCTATGGCTATGGGGAAGGAACGAATGTGCTTTGCATTTAGATGTCATACGCTGCGCTCCTTTCCCCTCTTCAATCGCGCCCCATACACATGACACTAGGCAGGCGTGTCTCTTACGTGGAGAGTTTATATGACACGTGGCGAATTTATATGACACGTGGCAACCCGTGCCCTCGGGTAGTTGATAAGCAGGCAGGCCTCAATGGGCACACACCATTCCACATCTTCTTCCCTTCCCAAGTAATAATGGAACGGGGAAGGAGAGGGGGAAGGAGGGGGGGGAGGGGGGGGACGGAAAATGGGCTGGGGCGTAAGAGGCATGACCATGTCTGTACTGACCAGACAAGACGTAAATCTTTTTTTTATGATTATTACTTCTTTTTTTCAACTTAAAGGCATGTAAGCGCAATCTTATCCCAAGAAACATTCGCATCTGGGTGCCAGTGTGCACGGCCCAGAAGAACGCACACCAGTGTTTTTTTTCTTTTTTTTCTTTTTTTTTTTACTGGAAGAAAGTGCACAGCAGGTCGGGAGCGAGAGGGATGTTTACCTCACAGAACTTCAGACAGCGGACCGTAGACTCGCGCGGGCAGTAGCCTGGATAAATAGATGTCTATTTATATATATATCATCACACGAATATATATATATCTATAAATGGAGAGAGAGAGAGAGAGAGAGAGATGGAGAGAGAGAGAGAGAGAGAGAGAGAGAGAGAGAGAGAGAGAGAGAGAGAGAGAGAGAGGGATTTGTAAAGCTGAGCCGACTTCAGGGTCGACTATGCTCTTTGTTTTTTTTTTTCTTTAACCGAAACCCACACACACGGGTGCCCCATCTATACCCGAGGGCGGCAGTCGCTTATCACCGGCAAGGCGTTGAAAAGGAAAACCAGCACAACGATGAACTTTGGGAGGACGCAAAAAACATTTTTTTGCTTGTACTGTTCCTACGGCTACCATCGGTAGTGCGTCTTCCCGATTTATGATTTATCGTCCCTGACAACCCGCGCACAATAGGCAGATAAACCCCAGGCTTCTTCACTAGTCCTTGAAAAGGCAATCCAATTGAATCCATCCCACTGTCCCACTCTTTGGGGTCCACTTTATCTTTGTCCCCCCCGCACAAATGATGTGTACGTCACAGTTCTCGCCTACACCCTCTGTCGAAAAGACTCACGAAAGGTTTGCAGCAAAAAAAAAAAA